CACACACACACATGCATATCTTGATTAAATCATCTAGAGAGAACAACGCATCATGTTATCTTTAGACATACCATTTTGTTTGGTTGTGAGCCACTATATGAATGGCCGTCTTAGTCCATGCAAGATCCCACCAGCCACTTACATTACCATCATAATGGAACAATATGATTGTGAAATTCTCTGAAAGAAACTGAACAGGGAAAAAAATTAGGCAAGAATCATATGACATGATTATCCTTCCCACGTGAAAAAGAAATACTCCATAGTGATAAGGAAAACACACTACAAGTTTGTACCTTTTGAGCAATCTTGTCAACATTATCCTTCTGCTTAATGCCAACTGGCATTGCCAACAAGTTGTGAGCTCCAGGAACATCAACCTAGAAGGGAATAGATTTTAGAGCCAAAAGATGTAAATGTGTAATAGCATTTATTATACAACCTCTGTCCCCAAAATAAACTCAGGATTTCCTTTTTTGTCCGTCTCAGCATAAACTTCACACTTTTCTCATTTTCTTTTAAGGAAATAGATATGCGGCTCACCACATTTGTCTCTTCTAAACAAATTCCAAACACACATATTTCACTTTCCAATACTTTTTATAACTTTATGAAGTCATGCTAGATTATTTTTTTTGGGAGACAGGGGTGTATTTATTATAACACAGTATTAGTAACAAAAAAAACGTGATTGATTGATATCAGCCCAGTTAGAAGAAGAATAAGACCTTTGAAGAACTCATTGACCATGGAGGCTTTAATTCAAGATCTGATCTAGGTTCACTGGCTCTATGAGGCAAATGTTTTAGTCTTTTGCTAGCCATGCTAGAATGCTGTATCAGAGCAATGAAAACATTTAAAAAAAGGTAATAAAACAACAGACAAGCCTAATCCCAACAGCAACAACATACCCAGTAAAATCCCACAAAGTGGGGTCTGTGGGTGCGTATACACAGAGCCACAGACTAAGGCATAATAGTATGCCTCGAATAAGCACGTGCTAAGGCCCAAAGGTCTACCTGGCCACCCTAATCCTAGACCTCCAGATGTTATACTCGGTAAGAACATGAAGTTGTAAGTCTTGTCTAATCACTTCATTCCAACACTTCCTAGGTCTACCTCTACCCCTCCTCATGCCTCCCTACCACAAGCCTATGGCATGGGCATCCTTATTTCTTCTGATTACGTGCTCAAACTATCTCAGACTAGCTTTCCGCAACCTATATTCCACATAGACCACTCTCATGCTTTCCTGAATAACCTCATTCTGGATCTTATCCTTTGCCATATGGATAAGATGGAAGGTGAAAATATTTAAAACAGGTAGTTCATTAAATGATGTAGTCGCATACTCGCATGTTGCAAACTTCAGAAATCACAATTTGAAAATATCGTTTCAATTACAACAACTGCAGTTCAAGAAAAGAATGTTATTAAGAAAAAGAAAATCAATTTGATATCAATTTAGCACAAAAATTACCTGCCCTTAAAGACTTAAAGTGTAGGAGGGCCATATTCGGTTACATTTACTAACTGATAAAGAGAAATTTAAAAGACATTACCATGATACGGTTATTTTAGATAGGAGATTCTATGGCTTTAATATACAAAGGACTATAGCACTACAACACTTGAAAAAGAAAAGATACCCAACATGCAAAAGTATAAGCTGCCTAAAATAGAACATAGAAGAGAACTATTCCTGATGCTTTAATATTTTAGCATGCATGGGAGAACACTTCTGATATTTAGGCCATCTCAGAAAAAAATAAAACCAAAAATATTTGAAGCATGGATAAGAAAGTGCAAGGTAAAACCCATATATCTAAAAATCAGTCAAATTGAAAATAGGGGCGCATATGTGTACAGGCATACCTGTGTCCATTGATACTGAAAATCAGTTGTCCTGTATACAAAAAATAGCATCACTATAAATATAATTCCCATCAATGGCAACCCTTTCATCTTCGCCACACATGATCCCTGCAATAGAGTTTCTTAGTCTCACTACAAAGCATGATAGTTGACTTGTAACATTAACCAATTCTCTTGTACCAGATTCTATACCATCTAAGATAGCTTCCGCCTCGTGATGGAACCAACCTGTTTATGAATATCCATTATCCAATAATATGAAAAGTCATGGAACAAGTCACAAGCCACACGGTCCACATTATTTGGTAACCAAAAAAACTGGCACCCCCCCCCTTCCCATGAAATGCAATATCCTAAGCTTGAAAAGTATTTCCTTTTTGGGACTGAGGGAGCACTAAGATTTAGTCCAAATAGCATTTTTCTCAGAATTTAGAGTCTCCAAAAGCAAAAAATCAAGCATTTGTAATGCCTTCCTGAATTTCTTGAAATGGAAATCCATATCAACCAGTAATAAATACAAGCATACCCATTCAGACAAGACACTTATTTTCTTCATCATCATCCTCTATGGTTGCAATTCCATCACAAGCACTAGTATGCCATACAAGCTGCAACACATTAAGCAATGAGAATTAGTATTAAAATGAAGACCAGAGAAAAAGCAGCTGCTAAAATAACCAAAGAATGTGACAAACTTCTCAATCACCCCAAATTCCACACAGTTTATCATCCTTGTTCTCAAGGCCGGCAGAAAATGCAGAATCACCAATCACCCACACCCAACCCCGGGTGGTTTTTCAGCCCCTTATTTCCGCTAACGTCAAGATTCAAACCCATAATCTCCATGTTAACAGTGTGTCCTTTTTTATCCCTTTCATAATTCAATTGCACTGGTACTCCGTATATGATTGCTGAAATCTTGAATAGCTAATAAATTACGAGTTCAAATGAGCGTTTTTCACCCCCCCACCCACCCTAAAACACTGTGCGCGCTCTAGCACACAGCATAAGAATTGGTTTAGAGAACACAGAACTCATTGGTTTTTTTTCAATTGGACCAAAAAATGCTTTCTCATCACAATAAGAGGAGAAACAACAAAAAAAAGGCTAATGATCTCTAGAATAACACACACAGACAAGCAAAGAGCATCCAAACAGATAATATCGCGCCAGTAATTCCTACTAAAATCAAGTGAAAAAACAAATAACAAAAATCCATCAAATGAATCAAGATGCGGAGCTGTGCCACACACCTCGGATTCAGCTTGAAGAACAACACACAAGTATACGACGATGATGATGGTGGTGGTGAAGTGGAATTGAAGGTATGGGGCTATGGTGAAATGGGCGGCGATGAACAGAGAGGATTTAGCATTGATTAGGTGGAAGAGAAAGAAGGCATTTTGGGGAATAGAATCTGAGGAAACACATTGTGAAGTATGGCATGTATGTGATGGGGGATATGCGGGTAGAAATGGAGCGTCTCCAGTGTGAATGCATATGCGTATATGCGGAAGCCTGAAGCATTTCTGTCAGAGGAGAGAGGGAAGGAAGAAGAGTGGGCTGGGAATATGGGATGGCCTAACTTCTCCTCCCTCGAATGTATGTGGGTGTACTCTATAATTTTTATTTAGGAGAATGCTAAAAAGGCACCACGTGTGCCTCCAAAGATGTCACCCAATATATTTAATTTTTTTTTTCAATTTCCTTTTTTCCTTAGTTTTTTCATCACTTGCCTTCTTCCCCAAAATTCCACCTTTTCATCTCTCTTTTTTCGACAACTCCAATTCGCCGGCATAGCCGGAATTGCAGCGCTAGACAACTCCAATTCAGACAACTCCTAGTCGAGAGCATAGCAGCGCTGGCAACCTCACCCCTCCAGCTCCAGTGCCGATAGCCCCACCCCTCCAGCTCCAACGCCGGCAGCCCCACCCTTCTAACTCCAGCGCCGGCAGCCCCACCCCTCCGAACAGGTTCTGACGCTAACTTTCCTTTCCTTGGTCTCGTTCTTTATCTCTCTCTGTTTCTAAAATTGATATAAAGCCTAGGGGGGTTCGGATCTCGGATCTTATTCTACATTGAAATTTTAGCGTCTTTAGTAAATACTCCGTAGTAATTAATGATTTTCGAACAGTTCTGAAGTATCAAAGACCATATGCCCTAATTATGGTTTAAAAAGTAATAATCATGGGCATTTCAAGGATCCAGTTTATGATATACTTAAGATTTATTTCTTTTTAAAAAAATTGATTTCTTCAAAACTTAGCAGAAGATAGCAACCAGGGGAACCAAGTTCACAGCATTCTCTAAAAAAGTTATTCTTTACTACATTTAGTGCTGAATTTTAACATTCTGGCAGTTAACTCTACCACCACGTTCATCGCTTAGCAATACAAAGAAAAAGACTTTGAAATTGGGTGTGCAAGGTGATCAAGTTGATGTGGGTTAATCAAGAAGCATGTTTTTTTGAGTATTTGAACTTCATATAAGATTATTGTTTGTGAAAAAAGTTTGCTTGTTATTTTGGCTTATGGTGTGAATTGTATGGCATAGATGGTTAAGTTCTGTTATTTGAACTTCATATAACATTATTGTCTGTGAAAGAAGACGTCTGCTTGTTATTTTTGATTGCTTACTGTGAATTGTATCTCATGACTCCTTGAAAGGGCTGAAATTCTCATTTTACGTTCAAGTAGTAAGAAGAATACCCCCTACTTCGCACGGTTAAGGGTGTGGGTGCAAACACTTTGGAGAAGGAATGGGAAACAATTGTTGTCAATGATATTCCGCAACAGGACTCTAGGTTAGTTCACCATTACTTCGTTATGGTACTCCAATGGTGGTGAAAATCATACCTCCCTACTTATTTTAATATTATTTTCCCTTGCAGGTATGGCAATTATGGAGTGATGGTGCTAGCATTTCTAGAGTCTTTGTTGTTTGGCTTACCATTAAGTCTGGACTGCAGTTCTGAACACATGGCTGATTTCCGATGTCAATTTGCAGCTAGGTTATGGCATGGAAGGAAAACAACCAATATTTTATTTACAATTTTAGGGATCTTTAATTTTTGTGAAACGTTTTGTAATGGTTTTTGTGTTTTGTAATGTATTTTTTGGGGAAACACTTTAGATTTTTTTGAAAGCTTTGTAATGAGGCTTTTATCATCATGAATTTCTACTTGATAATGCACAATCTGTTATTGTGTGTGATGAGTGATTTACCTTAGTTTATGATTGAATTACAGATTTACTTTCAGATCCCTCCCAGAGATTAACTGTCTATTTTACCCATTACATAGAGTTTTAATGTATGTGACGACAGAGTTACTTAACGTTATGCACATAGACCATCTTCAGAATCTCATCACATATCTGGGGGTCTTGTATAGCCAAAAACAAAGTTAAAACGCATACATTAGATTTCTTGGTGCTCACATGGAATAACTGTCTATGTCACAGACTTCCAAGAGACCTAATGTATGTGAAGACAGAGTTACATCAGGTTTACATTAGTTTATGTGCAGGGAACTCAGAGAAAGTTATCATATTTGTTACATACTTTACACGAAAAGCAAAAAGCAAAAAGGGTGGAACACATCTTGTGTTTTGCTCATTTTATTTCCTTGTCGACTACACACAAATGTAACACTTCTAGGAGTTCCATCCTTGGCTTTGCGAGTTGTCCTAGTCCGCATTGGAAATCCTACACTTCGAGCATAAGCCAGATAGTGTTCTCGAATTTCTTCAATGCTTGTAAACTTCATCCCCACTTCAGGCACGCTACCTTTGTTTCCTTTAGAAGGACATTGACCATTGTTCCGGACATCATTGTTAATGTCATCTGTGTTTTGTCTGATCTCACCACTCACCTGTTCTTGCCCTTCGTCGTTAAATAAATACTGAAAGCAAGGATCATTTAGAAAAAAAATCTTGTTCAAAAGCTGCAAAAAAACAGTACCTTTAATATAATAAAATACCTGACTATGAAGAAAACAATAATACACCAAATGCAGAGTTCATACAGATAATTAGCGTCTGTGACAAGGACAAACCCTAGATTCACAGAACTTTAATCTCTGTAACACAAAAACAAAACAGTTTTTTTTCACTACTTCAAATGAATATAGAATGGGGTCTAAATATCAACACTTACAACTGGGCTGCAACTCATATAAAACCAGGTCTTCTTCTTCACCACCAAAATCATATGGTTGCTCATTCTCAACATGTGTAACAATAGATGTTTGTAAGTCCATAATCACCAAATATCCTATGTACTCTACAAAAGTTCAAAAAATTATTGTCATAGAAATTGACTAAAAATGAAGAGATTGACAGAGGAATTGTCGTGCTACAGGAGTTGGCGCATCAGAGATATGAAGAAGAAGATAAGAAAAAGAAGAGATTACCTGCCGGTTTGTAAGAAGGAGAGCGCATGAAAGGGAGAAGAGAGTCGGTCGCTGCCGCGGAAGAGCAGATCCAGAGCAACATAGAGGAAAGGAGAAAAAAAAGAAGGAGAAAAGGTTAAAAAAATATATCTTAAATAGGGAGGCAGCAAAGGAGGCATTGGTTGGTGCACTGTAGCACGGTCCTTTTATTTAATTAATTCTTTATAGGGATTTATCAAAATTGATTGCAAAAAAATAAAAATGGACAAAAACTAGATAGTGACAAATTTCACACTTCGATTTTGCAGCTACAAAGAAAAATACAGGAAAACTTGTCTTCCGCAATAAAAAAAATAAAAAGTGATTAATCAAAGTTTATTTAGAAGAGATGGAATCCATGAAATTCACCTACTCACTTTGTCTCAAAAACTCTTTCCCTTTTCCCTTTTTTTCTTTTCTCACAAAATCATTCCATTTTCCATTAAAAAACTATTTTTACTTCTATTAATTCTTAACATACCTATTACTTCATAATTTGTTACTAATAATTTAGTAATTTACTCATCACATCTTACGTTTACCCTTTATATCAAAGATATTTTTAGAAACTCAACACAAATATATTTCTCCCTTAAATTTTCTAAAAGTTAAAATGGGGATATCTTTATGGGACGTAAGAAGTACCCGTTTTCTAAAATAGAAAACTAAGATATGTAAAAATTAATTTTAGACGTCAACAAAAAAGAAAGTATAAAATTTATTTGGAGCCGGAGGTGATAAATTATAGGGAGTATTCATATTAGATATTTTTATACTCCCTTTCTACTTAAATGGTTTTCTTTTCTTTCCTTTTTTTCCGTGCAAAAAATAAGCTTCAATTTCTTGTAAAAAATAAGAATGTGTGGCTAAAGAAATTTTTCCCTTTTTTTAATCAATTTCTAACTCTTTTTCCGTTATTGAATACTTGGTATTAATAATCATGAAAATCAAAGGTAAAAAAACATTTAATGATAGAGTATATTGCAATCCTCCTAAAATAAGAGAGTTAGGATTTCTCTCTCAACCGCCAACCACTCTCGCCATGGACTACCATTGTCCCTGGCCAATTGCTGCCGACCATCCCCTCGTCGGTCATTCTTACCGTATTAAAAGTCAGCATTTCAAATCTCTCAAATAATTTCATTCCAAACTTTAGAATTAAAATTATTTTTAATATTCACATCCTACATATCAACCTTCTAAAATTCACCAAACAATGAAATCTAAACAAAATTCAAACTTGGTAGTTTTATAAATCACAACACTCTCAAATGGAATAGCTCTGACATATTTTGTATTTGAAAATTTGAAATTGTATCTCTCTTGACCAACCATCATCCATTCAGGGTAATGTTAGTGGTACCTCATGTAGTGTACTTTATTTGTACACCAAAGCATTCACAAGCACACACAAACATTCTATACATGTACAATGTGTTGGACAATGTGCTATCATGAATATATAGATTTGCAATGTCCTTTTCCCATTGTCTTTTAGGTTTTGATAATGACAAAAGGGTGACAAAACATCATCATCATATTGTGCATCAAGGCTAAGAATCAAACCTACAACAAGTTCATATCCGTCCGTGAAAAAGGGACTTGAGCATCGGTGGAAGGAACGAGACCGAAGAGGTTGTTTCCTTAGTTGGGTAGTGTTTTAGGTCTTAGATTATGTGTTAAAGAGTATGGCATCTCTAAGGTTCATTCCCTTATCATCCTACCTTTAAAACACATTTTTTTCAGCAAACTATTTGAATAAGTTGAAAACTATTCGAATAAATCTCTGAACTTCTATTCTGACTTAGTTGAATAAATCCAGAACTAGTTGAATAAGTCAGATTGCAGTTTCACCAAAACTAGTCAACTAAGTCTTGACTTAGTCGAATAGTTAGACAGTTTCAAATACCAAACGGCTAGTTTTTTGAATGCTTTTCATCCCTATCCACTCCCTAACTTCTATAAACTACCATATCTCGTGTTTTTGGCCAAGAATATACATTGAGAATACTTAAAAACATATTCTTTGAATATCCAAAGAGATTCTACTCAATCCCCTTCTTATATACAAGCAAGGCAATTGTTTTGATTGCTAAATCATTTCTTGCTTGAGTTTTTCCTCATTGCTTGAGTCTTTGAGAGATATTGCCATATTCTAAAGGACTTCATCGTATTTGCAACAATCTACTCCGTGTTGGGAGAATTACTCGGTTGCGGTTTGTTTTCTTACTTTATTGTAAGTGATTTGTATTCTTGGTGTTGGGATTACACCAAGTGGTAGAAATCCTAACGGTTTGTAAAATCAAACGTTAGGTGGAAGAAATCCTGAGTTTTGTGAAATCAAAACTTTGGTGGTAAGATAAGAGGCTTGTGAAATCAAGTTCTCGAGTTGTATTCGGATTGTCAAACTCCGTTAAGTTTGACGGGTTAGTGAAGGCCTGGGCACGATTGCTTCGAGGACTGGATGTAGGCATTTAGGCCGAACCAGTATATATCGTGTGTGCATTGCTCTTATCCTTCACTTAATTATGTTTGTGGTGTATTGTTTTTATTGAATATTCGTGAAGAACGTTTCTGCGCAAAAAAAATTGGTCTTTTGGGCAACACCTCTATTCACCCCCATCTAGAGGTGTGCGAGGTGTCTAACACAATGCATGAACAATTAATATCGGTGTCTATCTGTGAATGTTTTGATATACAAATGGAGTACACTACTTAGGGTACCTCTAGGGCTCTAGCATTCTCCATTAATTTTTTTCTTTTGGTGTCATTTAAGAAAACACATGAAAATATCTTAGAGCTTGAATTATCTTATACTCCGTAAACTTTTACTGAATCTGAATCATTTCGAAACCATTAGGGTTCGTTTCATTTGATACACAGAATTGAGAGTTGAAATTCTATGGAATTGATTATGATAGAATTGAATTCTACATATTTTCGTGCTACCAAACAGCATAATTAAAGTTCTTCCTAATTCCAATTCTATACTTTGAATTCTGTGTACGAAACGAAGCTTTAAAATCCATTTGATATACAGAATTGATGAAATTAGAATTGAATTAGAAATTGAAATTTTATGACATTGATTTGGATAGAATTAAATTCTTTAATTTCAATTTACTTTTGGCACTACCATTTCCAAATTCATATATGTTTATGCAATCAAATAACAAAATTGAAATTATTGTCTCCAATTAAAATTATGTAGTTTGAATTCAGTGTAGTAAACAATCTTTAAATCTGTTTTGTACACATAATTAACAAAATTAAAATTAAATTAGGAGTTAAAATTCTATAGAATTGAATTGAACAAAATTGAAGTCTCCAATTCTAATTTATTTTTGGCACAACCAATTCTAAATCTACATATTTATGTCCTACAAAAACAAAATTAAAATTGTTATCTCCATTTTCATTTCCTTTTTTGTTAGGTAAACAAAAAAGATAAGTCTTAACAATAAACCCTACCCGTAACAACCCTAGCACCTGCCTTAGGATTTGGCTATGAAAGGAGCATTAAGAACAATAAAAGAATCATACTAAAGACCCACCAACAAGTCTATATAACACTACTAGAGAAATTCACTTGGTAAAGAGATCAAGGATGACCAATCCTTACAATCAATTGCTTTCAATTGTTTAGCACTTGGTTTTACACTCTAGTAACCAAATGCTCTTAGAGTGTAAAATGTCTATATGGGTTAAACCGAATGCAGAGTATATTTTACTAAATCCATTTATTTCACAAGGAATGCAAAAATTGAGTTGATTTGTCCTTTCAAAGAAGCATTCCCCGTAGCAGAATGCAAAACTTGATTAGCACTAAAATAAATCCGACATGAGTTTCAAAATGCAGACCCATTAACTTCAAGCAGTTCAAACATAAACTAAACACCAAATAAAAAACAAAACAAAGTTTCAAACTCTTAGCAAGCAGATGCCGAAGAGCCTTGGATTTAGTTCATCCTTCTGATCAATTCATTGATGTAATCCTCCCTGTTTCCAGCATCTCCACCTTCCACATAGTGGTTTCGCTTCTTCTTGAGGCCACCGAGCGGCGCCTTGAGTTGGAACGGCCACAGGAAATTGTTGGCTTCCTTGAAGTGTGGCCCCACTGTGAAGATCTCATGGACCAGATCTTCAATGCAGATGATGTTGTGCTTGCCAAGCACCTGCTCAATGATGGAGTTGTCGGTCAAGGGGATCCTGTCCTTCTTGACCTTGCCATATCCCCTCTTGTAGATCAACTCCCTAACGCTCTTCAAGTTAGGGTACCCAAAGGTCACATATGGCTCAACCCTGTGCAACATGTTGGTTGTGGCTTTGTTAACCTTCAGGAACACACCATTGAATATCTGCCTGAGACGAAGAAGCTGCAGAATCTTCTTGGTGTTTGGGTTCATCGCATTGATACCACGGATACGTATGATGAACAGCAATTTGGGTTCAGGGCAGACATAGAAGCCTCCTTTCAGGCGAGCCTGACGCTTGAACAGTACAATATCCCGAAGCTGTTTTTCGTATTCCTCGCTGTATTGCTTAGCTCTCTGGTAAATGACCTTTCGTTTAAGGAGATTCTTCTTCCTGGTAGCATCAATTTCTTGTTTCTTGACCAGAGCCCACTCTTGCTCCCTCTTCTGCTTCTTCAATACAGACTCGGGGACACATGGGGCTGCATTTTGAGCTTCAGCCATCTGGATCTATGGAATTGACCGGGCGGATGATTTAGATCAAGCATTCAGGAAAAAATATAAGGTTCAGGAATAAATTTCAAAGACAAACAACACAAATTAACCCACAGAGGGCCGAAACAAGGCCAAAAGATATACTCAACACATATCAAATGAAAAACGTACTGGTAAATTCATAATAACTACGATCAATGTAATGTAGAGGCGAACCAAGAAAAAAAAGATTTATCAAACACATATCAAAGGAAAAACGCACTGGTTCATTCAATATAGTTAAAATGATCGTAATCTAGCGGAAAATGGACCAAAATGACCAACAGATACAGGAGTTAACAAGATCCGGTACAAAAACTCAGAAGTGATGACAATCAAGTCAAGCAAATCGAAAACGAAACCTTAAAATCTAGCAAATAAACCACAGATTCTAATAGTTTGAGGCTCTTACCTTCGGAACGGAATGCTCCTGGTACTGGCTCGCGGCTGGAGGTTGAAGACGACTGGATCGTAAGAGGATTAGGGTTTCTAAGGGGTATATCTATATACCTCCACGGTAAAGTAGGTCTCGAGGACACTTAATGGGCTTGATACTGACGTTTGGTCACACTAAATTGAAGCCCAAACTATTTTTAAATGGACTGCTGCAAACGTTCGTCATCTCTAGGTTGAAGCCCATCGTTTTTTAAAATTCTTTCCAAAATACGGAATATGGAGTAAATTCTCAAAATGGTCCCTTTGTAATAAGATGTTTTCTCAATTTAGTCCTTAATAAGTTTTTATTACCTACATGATTCTCTATAGTTGAGATTTATTCCCAAGATAGTTTTTTGTAAATAATGTTACTCAAATGATAATTAATTAAGAGATATTTTAGTATTTTGATCATCCAAATTTAAAATATATTTTTAAACAGTTATTTATGTACAACTAAATGTAAAATTAAAAAAATATATTGATTATAAATAATTCATGAATATTTAAAACTTATAAAAAAATCTTTTAAATTTCAAATCAAATACACATCTTTAATTAGAAAAATTCATTTTGGGAAAGCACTTCATTAAATATGTTGATAAAATACTCAAAAATTAATTACTACAGTTATCAACAATGACCCCATATGTTTCTAATTTGTTTACTTAGGCCATTTGGAGTGGGGTGGGGTGGGGAAGAATCCCGCCGTGCCAGAAGTCGCGCCTTGCGCCAGAGACCAATGCACGGAGCGAAGCGGGCCTGAAGCCGCAACAACATCACGCGTGGGGCGCTTTTCAGGTTCTGCGGTGTGGGAGAATTGGACGGTAGTTGTTCATTGTAACGGTGACTAGCGGGCCACTGCGCTAGTTTGCAATTTTTTTTTACTTTTCAACTCTATAAAGCTTTAGTTTTGTTTTTAAGTGTTAATTTTCCAGGCATTTTTTATTTTTTTAATTTGTGATTTTAATTTAAATTTTAAGTGTGTTGAATTTTTCCTTATATTAATGCAATATTTCACAATTTTAATATTGTATTCACTTATCTCTAATTGTTACAATCATTTCTTATTATTCATCTATTTTATTAATAAATAAATATTTTTATTAAATTTATATAAGTTTTTGCTTAAAAAGATGATTGATGTAAAAGAATCGAAGAGGCCGAATGAGAGGGTGATAGCATTGCACGTGCTTTGTAGCAAGACTGAAAATTAGTGAAATGTTGATGCGGCAGGCAATGGAACGGAGCGAAAAATCGCTCGATTGTAAATGCTCTTAATGCCCCATTTACATGTGGCAGAGACAATCATTTTGTTGATACTTCAATTCTTGACACAATCAGCAAAAATCCGTTCTCAAGTTAAAGCATTTGTGTGACAACAATTTGCTCTAATTGGCATGGAAACTAGGACTAAAAGAGTGCCCGAAAGGAACTTGGTGTTGTACTTGTATCATAGAAATCTAAATAATGTAGGAGTATTAATTTACTACTCCCTAATACTTGAAAACAACTTTTTCTATTAGTGTTAACGTTTTGAGATAATTTTTAATGGTGTATATCAACTTTAAAATTATTAAAACTAAATTTGTTTGTTATATAGTCTTCTTTAAAATGCTAAAGCTAAATGACAAAATTGATACCAAATAGGCAATAAGTATCTTCTCCCAAATACTTCGACCCCCACCCCCCACCCCACCCCATCAACGTATTAATTCGTGTTCCAAAAACTACATTAATCGCTCATCCCCCTGCGAAATATACCCATTTAAACTGAGACAGAGAAATGAAAACCACAATGGTCATATGCAACTTGAAGTTTTAAAAGAGAACCGAAGCATTCGTCTGGGCAACGTATGATCTATCTACCAACGAATGAAACCTGACAACTCACTAAAATTACATTATAATAACAGTTCTATAACAATATCCCAACAACAGCATCAAGTTGCACACCAGTAAAAGTAAGAAAAACCTTCTCAGGAGCAATAATCCATTTCCAAAGCAGAGAGAGAGAGAGAGAGAGAGAGAGAGACTTACTGTTTGGGGTTTATAGATTGTATGTTCAAACCACCCCAAAGGTGTTGAATTTTTGCAGCACTTGTTCAGATAGATGGGTCTTCAAGAGCGGCAGTGGAAACATCCTTAATGCGGGGATAAGCGGCTTTTTCGTCGAGTTGGTTTTGTGCACATATCAGCAACTTAAGTAAGCTTGGAAGCTTGGGATCTGCAATTTAGCCACCAGCATTAAACTTTTTAGTTGATGAAACGAAGCTTACTTTGTTTGCATATGCTCCTATGTTATAGCCAGGTCTCCTGGAAACAGCCTCTCTACTACCAATTAGGGGAATGGTTGTTCGTGTTGTTGTTGAACGATGAAGCTTACTGCTAATTCTTAAATCCAATGAACGAAAAAAGAACAGCAACAGACAAAATAGTGCGCTCATATTTCAACATTTTTAACTAAAAATAACCTGTTTTGTTGTCTAATATTTTTATAGCATTCTTTAGGGGTACATATACCAGAATAGAACCATCTATTTTTTTATATCAAAATAGAACTTATAATGTCAAATAATGCCGACATATAACGCCAAAAATAATGTGAAATTCCAACACACATGGTAAATTACGGGGTTTACAATGCCACCTATTTAGGAGATAAAAGCATGTCTTATTTTGGTATAGGTTTCATATTTTATTCTCATGTAGGTAGATTTATTCTTTTTTTGAATTTTTTTTGCCTATTTTGCTGGATGAAAGTGATTGCTGTTTTTTAAATGGAGTCCTTTTACACACACTAATTTAACGCATTAATTAAGCCCTCTTCACGGATATGGAAAGATCCTAGCTACTTTCATATTCTACTAGGTCTGCCCTCCCCATGCCATATTTTGTGGGATTCTACTTGGTTGTTTTATGGAAAGATAAAATTTAGAGAGGCAGGTAAAAAAGAACTTTTTTTATAAAAAAAATTGTGTCCGAGAAGAGTTGCACCATTTTGTTGTAGCAAGAAAAATTTGGCATTTGCAGACTTAGATTTGAGATGCCCTTAACTCCTAAAATACATTATGTAACTCCTAAGACTGTAAAGATTCTCTATACTTTGTTCACTTAACTAATTCATGTACTTCAAAGCATTGTTATTGAGTCCCATCCTAAATCTAAACTTTGAAAGAGATCTAAATTTTTACTCTCCTTGTTTATCACGTAATTATGAATGGCCAAATGATAGTTAATGAATAATGAGCATAAATACAACCTTTTTCATGGCTTTGGCTGGTAAGAATTGCAGCATTCACCTCACTTGCTGTCCTCATACGCTGAGAAATATCTAAAAGATCTCCTAAAGGGGAGTTTGCAGCATCTTCGAATACCAGCAATGTGACCGTCCTCTCCAACTCCTCCAAAAATGTTTGCTGCAGAAAAAACAATTGTTGTCAGGTTTATGGTTAAAAAATAAAATGAACATCAAGCTTGCCCATTCTTGATACCAAGAGATGATACATGAAATATTCAGCTTTGCCAATGATAATTGCATCAAACTTCTTATACAAGGAAAATATATATTCTCAAAATACAAAAATAAAAAATTGTCTAAACTTGTTACATTTTCCTCTCCCCTTGGAGCAAGTTCCTCCTGAGCAAACTCTAAAGCCTCTTCCACCTTGCCATTCCTTATCATTTCTATGAACCTTTGTTTCTGGAGATGAAAAAAGAGCTGGGGATTTGTGTCCAATATCTGCATCCAAGAAGGTAAAATTGTTTTATAAACAAATGCAACCATTGTTCTAAAAGGTGTCACAAATTGACATGCACATCTTAAAATGTGCATATATCATAGATCTAGCTTCAAAATATTGACAAAAAGAAAAAAAAATTATGCTTATGCAAAAGTGCAAAACAGTATCAATATGATGATTTCATCTTAATTATGTATAACGCCAGAACATCAATTAAATGAGACTTCCAATCAGATAATTTGTCACTGAAGATTTAAAACATGAAAGAGAATGACAAAATGCAGTGCTCTACTGAATGTAAAAAAAAATGTAGCAAAATATCACTCCGGTATGATGAGTGATTTCTGAAAAGAACTCCAATGTCCTTATATTTTTAGAATCACACCCGGTACCATTAAATTTACTTGTAAATGTTGCATGGTGACACTGACTTTAGAAAATAAACGTGAAATGTCTGATATGCCCTTGGGAGTACCTCTTTGCCAACCAAATCCACCAAAAATTTGTCCACCCGCCAGCAAGGTAAGAGTAGCGGTGGGATTGTGGAGTTGGTGCCAGAAAAATTGACTCTCAATGACTCATATCAGACATTCCATAATTATTTTTACACAACCATTTTCACCCTGCAGCACATACAATTAAATTTAACATTCCCTGCAATTTAACCAAAATGATGTCTCCATACTGCATAGTAATTAGACTACTTTTAAAAAGCTTTGAATAGGTGTCAGATAAAATATGTTATGTCTGAAAAACAATACTAGATGTCACACTTCGCAAAAATTCCTCTGTTGACAATAATTTCAGTTCAGCCAAGATTTTTAAGTTATTCGCATAAAGGGAGGGAAACCCTTTTTCCTCTCATTAACCATAAAAACCAAACGTGCAGAAAGTCTGCCTAGGAACCCTTAGAGTGCCCAATGTGATGATAGATGCCTTATGCACCTTTCAGTTAATACTTTGTAGAGTTTGGCCCAACATCTACTTTTTGAAATAAGGCCAACAGGTACCAAGTCAATAGAAGGATGATGATATTTTCTCCAATGTGTAAAGTATTGAGAAATAAGAGGCTCTAGGGATATTTAGCAAATGACTCGATCAAACATGTAGCTCCCAAAAAGGGGAACACCCATAGCAAAAATAAAAGAGAGAAAGACATACCTCAGGGTTCAAATCATTAACCTTTTCAATTGCATCTTCAATGTTACCACATTGTACTGCTTTTTTAACTGCCATCCGATCCGTGATGGTTGCAAGATCTATGTCAGCTAGTTATTCATAAGGAAAAACAAATAAATAAATGTACCCAAAAATGTGCAACTGTGTGAGATGAAACAAGGATACGTTCTGTTCCTGATTCCAGTCTAAACTTTTCTGCTGCTTCCACAAAACCCTCGGTGACTAGAAAGTTCATCACCAGTCTATTCATGTCCTCTTTTCTAATCTTTACATTGTTCAGCTTTTTCTCCCACTCTTCTCTTGTCATTATTTTCTTCGACATTGCCTATATAGGCAATGGAATATAACATATAAGTTCATGAATGGATTCATCGATGTAACACCCCAAGTGTTTATTTAAAAAAACAAAATGATCAGTGATTTTCAACCGAGGGTAGCATTATCTAGGAAAACATGTTGCATAAATATTTCACATTCACAACCTGAAAGTACTAAAAAAAATACAATAAGCAAATTTATCTATCTAATTGAACTATGTATATAATACACCCTCCGTCCAAGTTGAAACTTCTCGTTTTGACTTGGCACGGATTGTAATGTAAAGTGAAAATTACTCTGACTTTCCAATTTTGCCCTCTATTTCCCCATCCAGCCCCACCCGACCTGCCATCTTGTTACACAAACAATTACGGAGTATTCTTCTTCAACTTCAACCTCAACCACCCCCACCTAACACCATCACCACCCCACCCTCCATTAACAAATCTCAATACTTTATTCTTCATCTTCAACATCAAACACTCCCCATGTTGTCCGTCCTCAAACCCATACCCAATCATCTTTTTCTTCAACCTCAAACCCACTCTACCCCCAGCCTTCCTTCCTACTCCCAACTTAACATAACAGAAAATAAATCTCATCAAACATGAGAATGTCGAAGTTACAATTATGCCTCAATGAAATTGAAAAAAGAAATTTTTGAAAAGATGGAGATAGAGAAACAGGGGCAAAGAAATACAAAATTGATCAGAAGCTCTGCTGTAATGTAAATCTGAAAGCTCTGCTACAGATCTGAAAGCTCCGCTGCTTAGATTTGAAAGAATTTGCAGATCTGAGAGGTTCGTCCCTTCACCACTGCCCTTCGCCACCACCTTGGGGGGTTATCAGGAGAAGAAAAGAAGAAAAAGAAAGGGGGAGAGAGAGAGACTGACGTAGGAAAGAAGAAAGAAGAAAGAAGAAGAGAGAGGAGGGATAAGGGGAGTAATGAAATTATTAATTGGGGAAGAGAGAAACATTAAAAAAAAGTATGGGTAAAAGAGTAACTTTAGATGTATTTTCTTTCCATTTTAGAAAATGGTAAGAATCAAATGGGATATCCCGAAAAGCAAAGTGTGAAGAAAGATATGGGACGGAGGGAGTAAATACTATGTATTTCTTTTGCCAATGTTTCCTCCAAAACTGAGTGAACAAAAAACTCACAAAAGTAGATTTACTATAAGAGTTTAGCAAGGGTGGGGCTTACCTTGAGAGTCCCAGTGTGTTTGTCTTGCTAAAATGTATGTTGGGTTTGTTTAACTCTCTTTAATATAAAGTACTTGTTACTTTCAAATGGCGGAGTGCTTGAGGCTTTATAAGTGACAAGAAAGGCTTTTTCAAACTAAAGGAAAAAATCTACTGTATTGCAATTAGACTAGCTATGTTGTATGGAATGGAGTGTTGGGCAACAAAGGGTGAGCAATGAGCATGAACGCGAGGTTAGTATGGCCAAAATGAAGATGCTTCGATGGATGAGTGGTGATACGCGTATGGATAGAAAAGAAAAGAAGATAGCAAACCTAAAGTGGGAGTGACACCTATTGCAGAAAAGATGGTGAAAACTCATCTTAGGTGGTTTGGACATATGGAAAGAAGACCAATGGAGAGAAGGATTGATCAAATGGTGAATAGACATGTGACTAGAGAAAGAGGTAGACCTAAGAAAACTCTGCACAAAGTGGTCAAGGGGGACCTTCGACTAAATGATCTCGCTGCAAATATGATATATGATACGGCGCAATGACGTCATTTGATCCATGTGGTCGACCCCACCTAGTGGGATAAGACTTCATTGTTGTTGTATAAAGTACGTGTTACTTTTTAAAAATGTGGAGTGTGTGAGTGGGGTGTTGTATGCAATACAATCGATGACTAACTATAACAATAACAATAACTATTTTGTAGGTCCTAACAACAAAATTCGAGTTTTTTCAAAATTTACCCAAATCTAAAGAATGAAAGGGTGAAATTTCAAAAAAAGATTGTGCACTCCATAAAAAATCTCTTTATAAATTATTTTGTTTTTTCATAAGTAATAAACACTCTGAATAATTTCTCCCTCAAGTCCTACAAAACATTTCCTCTTTCCTTTTTCATCAGTTCCAAAAAACTCTTCATTTCTCAATTAAAATCATCTTTTACCCCAATTAATTATTAAGCTAGGTGACACTTTATACCTATTTATCATCAATCTACCCATCATACCTTGTTCTACTCGACCATAAAGAAAGTGTAAAATGGGAAAGTAACACCCATATTACACTTATATAAATACCAACTTTATCAAATGTGGAAAGGCTTATTAGGACGAAGGGAGTATTAATCTTAAGGAGGAAAAACTAGTGAAGTACTTCGTAGACCATCCTAATAACAACAACAAAACCAATAGAATCCAACAATATAGTAGGATTTGGGGATACATTATTCCTACTTGGAAGTAGATATGTTGTTTCTAAGAGAGTAGGGTCTCTAGGCCATCCTAATATTTAAAAAATGGCAAACACATACACCCTTCATCTTGTGCCTAATGGAACTTTAGATTACGGGGCAAAACCCCACTTTTTAGAATCATTTTCTTTAAAACTAGTATTGAAAAAAAGAAGCTTACAAATTTAAAAACTACGTCAAAAGTTCTACAAATCAAGGGATGACATTTTACATTTATCAAATGATAAATAAAAACACATAAATGAACAAAATTCATGGACATGCCGAAATAGTAATTGTGCCCTTGGGCGCGAGACAGATGGAGTTTTCAGTAAAATGTGGCATAATCAGTCTACTACTATGATGTAAATAAAAATACACTCGTGACTCAAAATTTAATTGCGCACTTTGCCTTTTGGAACTCTGAAAATTATTGTGAATTATCAAAATCAACCCTGAAGAACATATTAACTCCATCTTCCGTGAAGGAGAATCTAATTTCAAGAATTTTTTTGTGATATCAATGTTATTCCTTAACATTTAGGTATTTTGAAAAAAGGATATCTATAAAATAGGAAAATTGGAACAAAAAAACACGGTATCAAACTGACACCTGAAAAAATAAGAACATAAGATCTACAGGTGTTTCAAACACACACTCGAAAAATATTAGGGCAGAGAGAAGATCAGTAGAGTGGTGTTTCAGATTTAAAATTTCAAACTTCTAAAATTCTCTGATGATAAAAACACCTGTGAAATTTTCAGATTTTCGTGAGAGTATTTTGACAATGTTGAAGATTTAAGCAGCGAAGAAGATGACGATGGGGCGTGTGAAAAGAAATACCTGGTGATTTGTATGCCGATGATGAAGGAGGCCAAGAGAAATTTGTTCCTCCTTCCTCTTCTTTTGATCTTCAAATTCACTCGACCTGTCTGAGTAGAGAGGTTTATTCTCTTAATTAATTTTGGAAACTTGTACAAGCTTGAGTATTTGACTCGTGGAGAATTTTTTACTAGCAGGACTGTAAAAAGCTTGAGTATTCAACAACGGATTCATATTCCTTTTATTCATGTATTTTATGGGTCCGTTTGGTATACGGAATTGATGAAATTGGAATTGAATTAGAATTGAAATTCCATGGGATTCAATTCCATAAAATTGAATTCACCAATTCCAATCCATATTTTGCACTATCAATTCCAAATCCACATAATTTTTGTGCTACCAAACACCAGAATTGGAATTGAAGTCCTCAATTCCAATTCCATAGTTTGAATTCCATGTACCAAACGGGGCCTATAATAAAAAAAATCAAATACTATCTCCCTTTGAAAAATGATTTTTTCTTTTATTTTTTTACAATATTTGATGCTACATTTGGATCATTAAAATTTACATTTATATATGAATATATTTTCTAAAAATTTAATCGGTCTGATTCTTGTGATACTGAGATCAATGTCAAAACACGACTTAAGCCTCTTACGAAACTCCATTAGTAAGTTTGACGTTCCTCCCCT